CGCCTCCTACGTAACCTCCTGGATTCAGGCTGGAGTGGAAGCTTTTATTCCTTCTCGTCGGTTTCAAGTCAAGCCTCATTCTACTCCATGGTTTTCTCCTTCTTGTGCGGCTGCTATATCAATCGTAATCATTTTTTTCAGCTTTTTCAAAAGAACAACTCTCTTGAGAACAAACGGCTATTTATTATTGCAAGAAATCGATGTAAAAAGGTGCTAAACTCCATTATTCTCAGTTCACTAAATCTCGCATCTTATCGCAGAAGTTAGGCTCTAAAGACTTTTGGAAAATCTTCAACAGCATTGTTAACAAGGGTAGATCTAATATTCCATCTCTCATTCATGGGACTGATCTTGTTACCTCTCCCAGGGATAAGGCAGAACTGTTTGCAAAGAACTTTTCTTCTAATTCCACTCTTGAATCTTATGGACATTTTTTTCCTTCCATTCCAGTCAAACAGGTTGACCCATTGTTAGACATTCAAATCACTCCGGCTTCTGTTGCTAAAGTCATATCTCAATTAAACTCGTCTACAGCTTGTGGTCCAGACAACATTCCTGTCACAGTCTTGCAGAATTATTCTCCAGAACTTTCTTCAATTTTCTCTAAACTATTTAACAAGTGTTTGACTGAATCTTGTTTTCCTGCTTGTTGGAAAATGGCATCTGTGGTTCCAATATTCAAAAAATCTGGAGAAATTTCTGACCCCTCCAATTATCGTCCGATCAGTCTTCTTTCTGTTATTAGCAAGGTCTTTGAGTCTTTAATCAACAAATTCCTCACATCTCATCTTGAGTCAAATAAACTACTGTCAGACAATCAATACGGTTTTCGATCCTCTCGCTCTACGGCCGACTTGCTAACTGCTGTAACTGAAAGATTTTATGGTGCATTAGATGGAGGCGGTGAGGCTAGGGCTATTGCTCTCGACATATCTAAAGCTTTCGACAAAGTTTGGCATGCTGGTCTTCTCCATAAGCTTGCTTCTTATGGTGTTACTGGGAAAGTTTTTGAGATTATCAAATCATTTCTTTCTGACCGGTTTATTAAAGTCATCCTTGAAGGCCAACACTCTTCTTTATTTCCAGTAATTTCTGGGGTTCCCCAAGGTCCCATCCTGGGCCCTGTTTTGTTTCTTATCTACATAAACGATCTTCCTGACAACCTTTCATCTAAAGTAGCTCTTTTTGCTGATGACTCAACTTTATACTCCTGTCTTGACAAAAAGTCTTCTCTTTTCGATCGCCTATAACAAACAGCTGATCTTGAATCCGATCTCACTTCATTAATAGATTGGGGTTCCCAGTGGCTTGTGAATTTTAACTCTAAAAAAACCCAGTTGCTTACTGCAAACAACTACCGTAATATGGTCAACATTCCTATATTAATGAATGGCAATCCTCTTACTGAGTCCTCCTCTTTACGTCTTCTTGGATTATCGCTTACTACTGACCTTTCATGGAAACCATATATACAATCGATTGCTAAATTAGCTTCTGCTAAGGTTGCTTCTCTTTATCGTGCTCGCCATTTCCTTACTTCTGATTCCATTCTCTACCTCTAGAATCTCTTATTCGTCCCTGTATGGAATACTGTTGTCATATTTGGGCTGGTTCTTCTTACAATTCACTTTCTCTTCTTGACAAGGTCCAAAAACGCATTGTAAATGTTGTTGGACCTGGACTATCTGCTAAGCTTGAACCTCTTTCCCATCGTCGTAAAGTTGCATCTCTTTCTCTTTTTTACAAATACTATCATGGTCACTGCTCAAAGGAGTTATCATCTCTTGTTCCATCAACTAAAATTCATTCTCGTATTTCTGATCACTTCCCTGTTTTCTTTTCCATTAATACTAAAATGGAAACGTCACCAAATATATATCAAATTTTTGTTGAACGTATTTTTAATGAAAAGAATTTGAAAACATTTAAAGAGCAATTGTCTCTTCTTCATTGGGGGCACATTTTCAATTTAGATGATGCTAACCTGGCTTACAACAAATTTTTTAAAACTTTTTTTGATATATATGATGTTAATTTTCCAAAAATCAAAATACATTGTAAATTAAAAAGTATAAAATCCCCATGGATTACTAAAGGGTTAAAAAAATCATCCAAAATCAAACAAAAATTGTACATTAAATTCCTAAAACTAAAAACAGATAAAAGTAAAGCTATATATAAAAGTTACGCCAAACAATTCGAACGTCAAAGAAAAAATCTTAAAAAAAATTATTACAATGATTTACTTGAGAAATATAAATTAAGTTCTAAGCGCACATGGGAAGTTATAAAGGAAATCACAGGCAGTTTTAAAATGAACACACTCACATTGCCTAAAACCATCAAATCAAATGATAAACTTTTGTATGATAAAGAAGAGATAGCTAACGAGCTGAATAAATATTTTGTTTCTGTTGGACCAAATTTATCCCAAAAAATTCCTCTAGCAATTAATCCAATAAGTAATCTATTTATCCCTAATACATCGCAATTTAATTCGTTTGAACTAACTTTTGAAGAGTTTGAATGCGCTTTTAAAATGCTAAAACCCAACAAATCAGCAGGTGCGGATGATATCAATGTAAATATTGTTATTAAATCATATGAAATCATAAAAGATGTACTTTTTAAGATTTTTTCTTGTTCTATTAGGCAAGGAATTTTTCCTAACCAACTAAAAATAGAAAAGGTGATTCCGATAATTAAGGGAGGTGATTTAACTAATGTTAGCAACTATCGTCCCATTTCTATTCTATCTGCATTTTCAAAAGTCTTGGAGAGAATTTTATTTAACAGAATTTATAATCATTTATCTGTAAACAATTTAATATATAGCAATCAATATGGATTCAAAAAAAATAACTCGACAGAACACGCAGTTCTCCAGTTTACAAGAAGTATTACTAACTCTTTTGAAAACTCCCAATATACAGTTGGGGTTTTTATTGACTTAGCTAAAGCTTTCGATACAATAGACCACAATATTCTTTTAAATAAACTAAAGATTTACGGTATAAACGGAAGTGTTTTAAATTGGTTAAAAAGCTATTTAAATAATCGAAAGCAATTTGTATACGTTGATGTAGTTTCACCAGTAAACTTGCTTGATATAACCTGTGGAGTTCCTCAGGGATCAATATTAGGGCCTCTTCTTTTTCTTATTTACATCAACGATCTCCATAAAGCCTCAAATATAATGACGATTATGTTTGCAGATGACACGAGCTTATTTTTATCTCATAATGATATTACATTGTTATTTCAGAATATCAATAATGAACTAGTAAGAGTTTCTGATTGGTTTAAGACAAATAAACTCTCTCTTAATAATGATTAAACGAAATGGATTTTTTTCCATCCAAATCACAAAAAAAATCTTATACCAAATGAAATGCCACTGCTTTTTATTGATAATATACTCCAAAAAAAAGTAACAGTTACAAACTTTCTTGGTATTTATATTGATGAAAATTTGTCATGGAAAAGTCACATAAAAAATTTGAGTAGTAAAATATCAAAAAGCATAGGAATTTTGTACAAAGCAAGGTGTTTTTTAAATAAACATACATTACTTAAACTATATTATTTGCTCATTCATTGTCACATAAACTATGCGAACATTGCGTGGGCTAGTACTAATAAAAGTAAACTGGAACCTTTTTATCGTTACCTTATTAATTACCTTATTAATTTAAAGAATCGATATACTCATGCCAAGCCTCTATTAATTGAAATGAAAGTTTTAAATATATATGAGCTTAATATTTTTTAACGTTTAAATGCTTTATGTTTAAATGTAAAAACAATATTTCTCCTGTACCTTTTCATAACTTGTATAACAAAAAAGAAAAAACTAAGTACATTTTACGAAATGATAATACTCCTCAATCAGCTTATCAAACTAATTCTGGAAAATACTGTATTTCATTTCGAGGAGCATTACTTTGGAATAAAATAGTTTTAAAGAATTTTGACTTTTCTCAAGAAGTTAGCTATCACTCTTTCAAACAAAAACTTAAAAAAATCATTTTTTTCTTAGATGATATATCTATATTCTTTTAATTTTTTGTTTCTTTTTTAACTTTATATTTAACACTGCATTAATAATTTTTATAATTTAACAATTTGTAAATAGTTGTTTAACACTTTTTTTAAATCTTAAAACTGTATAACAAAACCTTTAACAAAAAGTTTAACAATTGTGCTAAAGATATCTTAAAACTGTATAACGCATCTATGTATTTATAACGGAACCGTTTTTCTTTTTCTTTTTTTCTTTAAATTTGTTTATGTTTTCAATTCTTAATTCTTAATTATTTGTTATCTTCAAGTATGTTAAGTATATATTCCTATTGAAAGTTTATTTATTTTGAGAATATTTTATTAATACGAAATATTAACACGAAAATTTTTTAGCGGTTCTCGACGACAAGACCTTACGGTCTTCTACGAGTTCCCGCGTTCTTTTATTTCTTAATAACGATCATGTATATATATATATATATACATTGTTAACGAATATTTATTAAATCACAAAGTTGTAAAATTAAAGAACAAAAAAAAAAAAAAAAAAAAAAAAAAAAAAAAAATATATATATATATATATATATATATATATATATATATATATATATATATATAAATAAATATATATAAATATATCTATATATCTATATATATATATATATATATATATATATATATATATATATATATATATATATATATATATATATATATATATATATATATATATATATATATATATATATATATATGTATATATATATATATATATTTATATATATATATATATATATATATATATATATATATATATATATATATATATATATATATATATATATATATATATATATATATATATATATATATATGTATATATATATATATATATATATATATATATATATATATCCCGAATATATATTTATAAATATAGAGTTTATTGCAAAAAATAAAAGATTTTAATAATTTACCTTTCTTTAAAACCAGGTAGCTCTGAAAATCAATGCTTTATCCCAAAATCAAACATTTACGCTTGCTGTATACTTCATAAAGAAATGCATTAGCCCGGCTATAGTAAATTACGGTAAGTTTTAAAAATTTCGTAATATTTTACTAGGGCAACTTCAAATGATATCAATATGAAATGGAATAAAATATTTTTTATTTTTCAAACATTTTTTTTTAAATAGTTAACCAGGAGGATTTTTTTTCAGAAAAAGACCAGAGTCGTAATATAGTATTTAAACAATTTTCTTTTATATTGGTGTGCACGTAACTAAAGATTTGTTTCATTGACAACCAATTGTTTAAGATACAGCTTAATATAGTTCAACAATTTGTCAGTTATTACTTGACAAAATTAATTTTTGACTTTTATTACTTATTAAATGTGTACTCTTGGTGGGATTAAACCATTGTTAAATATTTCCTAAGTATTCAATCAAACTAGAGAGTACCGAATCTAGCAAAATAAGAATTTGATAAACTTGAAAAACTCCAGTTTTCTAAAATAAATAAAGAATTCAAAACCTGTAAACGTTAGAAAAACAAATAAAAGTATGCAATTGTGATATCCGATTTAGAAAAAATATTTGCACTGCTAGAATGATGTTTCTATTTAGCCTTTCGTTTTCTTTTTATAAAAAATATCGTCCATAAATTAGACAACGCTAAATTTCGCTTATAAACAAAACAAAAAAGATCAAAAGTTTTACCTCGCAGAGCTTTAAGTTAAATAAAAAATCAAAATAGCTCAAGTTTAATGAAAATCGCCACTAAAAATAGCCTCCTACTTCCGATATTAAGATCTCCTACTTCCGAACTTAAGCCTCCTACTTCCGATCTTAAGATCTTCCTATCTTAAAATCTCCTACTTCCGTTTTTTTAATAAATTTAGCGTTGCGTAATTTATGGACGATCTCTAATTCGCTTGTTTGCAATAAGTGACAATGTGTGAAACTTTAATATTGGTTTACACGCAAGCAGTTGCTAAAGGAAAGTGTAAATATTAGTATAAGAATTGAGTTTTCTTAAATAATAATTTTAACTTCTTAAAACAAAAAGTTTCTACAGTTTACTTTATAAAGTTTATAGGTTTATAAAGTAATAGGTTTCCTAAATAATTTTATATATAGTTTATAATTTTAAAATTTTATATAGTTTTTATATATATATATATATATATATATATATATATATATATATATATATATATATATATATATATATATATATATATATATATATATATATATATATATATATATATATATATATATATATATATATATATATTGTATATAGGTTTTTCTCTTTTTTTCTTTTCTTTTTTATCCTTTCTGAACATTTTTAACAAGATAAATGTTTTACTTTTTGTATAAAACTAGGATATTTCCATCTTTCGTCATAAAAGGAAACCATTCTCGAAAAACACACAAAATATAATTTAAAAAAATTTCTTAGTTGTCTTGATGTTTATATGGTTTTATATTTAACAACCAATTATCTCAGTCTTCATTTAGCTTCAGCTGCGTATGGTTTCCGTTTTAAAATAAATTACACATGTGCAGAATATATTGCTTATGATTTAACCTATAAATATTTGTCAAATTTTCATAAATGGTATGTAATTTATTAAGTCTTATTTTAAACAACATAAATGTATATATTTGTTGATTTTTTATTCCTTTATCATCCCTTTTCAGAATTTTACAACAGTCCTGTGTAAGGATTACACCTCTCTTTGATACGTCATTTGTGACTTAAATAGTTTTAGCAAAATCCCATGCAGATCGTAAGTTCAGAGCCCCAATTTTAAGAATCTCAAGCCATTTGTAGTCCATGTCAAGAATTGTGAAGAATAGCATTTAGGTGGAATTTGGTCTGAAAGAAACTTTTTTGGAACATTCAAAATTCCTGCTTTCTACCCAACCGGCATTTGATCTTTTTAATGCGGGTTCGGTAGAAAGACTAAATGCGTGCTGGGTAGAAGTATAGTTTGGTTAAAACTAATAATATAGTTAAATAGATACGCAAGATAGCAAACTTTAGCTGTTTAAATATAAAAGCTTCGGCTTCGGCAAAGTGGCTTCGACAGAAGCCTCACTAAATTCTTGGCTTTATTACATCTTTACTTTATATGGCTCTGAATTTACAACTTTACTTTTACCTCCCTCTCAAGGATAATGATTATAAATAAAACTACTATTTTAATTGAACGTAAAAATTTTTAAATAACACCAGCTGCTTCCACTTACCTAGAAGATTGTTTATGATTGATATGACATGCTTAATGACATTTCGAAGCATTATATCAAGGTGAACTTTTTATATTTTTCCATATTCTGCAGTACACAATCATAAAAATGTCAATTTTTGGTTTTTAGTTCAATACATGTAAAATCTAATTCTGGCTTCAAATATATTCAACTTTTATATGATTGAGTTATCATATCATGAAATATATGATTTTAAAAATCTAAGTATGATTTGATTAGCTTCGTAAAGGCTTAACGATGCCAAACAAGGTTTTGTTTTGCCCTAATATCCTGCAATTTACCAAAAATTCACTGAATAAATTTTTTTTATTCAGTGAGTCTTTTTAAACAAGTTTTAAAAAATATCCGATTAAAAGTCAATTGGCAAAGTTTATTGCTTTTAAAACGTTATTTTTACAACTTGCAAGTATTTAATATACACGCTTACGCAAAATACAATATCTCAAGCTCTAAATCGCATGATTTTAGTACAACTCCTACACCAATATGGCATCTTTGTACTGATAAAGTTTTAAAACAAATAAATGACCCTATCTGGAAATAAAGCATTCTGCGTGTTTTTCTTTGTCTGTGTTTTAAGATTTGGAATTTTTCAAAAATTTCAAAAGTTGTATACTTTTTTTAATTCGTAAATCATCAAATTTGCAATTTTGTAAATAATTCTTTATCTTTTTAATCATTGCTTTAGTACCGCCTTAAAAGTAGCAACTTGATTCGTTTAAATAAACAAAATATTAATTTGTTTAAATAAATAAAAAAATAAACACTGCAGAGCAAACTGTACTTTCCTGCATCTGCAGCAGTTACAAATGTTTTCCGTTGTATCTAGATTTAACAAAGAAATAACACTTTTGTTAAATCATGATATAGGATCGTCAATAAAGTATGCAACCCTAAATTTAACAAATAGAAAAGACAGAAAAAATCAAAAGTTTTCCCTCACAGAGTTTTCAATTAAACCAAACAATAAAATAGCGCTTTAAGATCAATGAAACCGCCGCCCAAAAGAGCAAGTGATTTTCTACTTCTATTTTTTGATTTTAAATAAGTTTAGAGCTGCGTAATTTAAGTACGATCCTTCAGTAGAGTACAAAATAAAGCGCATTTAAATTTTAATGTTGAAGTAGAAATAGATGCAGGGGAACATTTTTGTTGCCTCCTCAAAAGCACCTAGAATGTTTACTATTTTTTCACAAAGGCTACAATTTTAGACAAAAAAAATTCAATATCCACTCAAAGAAATTTGATTAAATTGACAGCATTATCTGGTTTCAGGTGTAAAAATCACCAAAGCATGTAATAAGAAAAATTTTTTTTTTTTTTTTACAAGTTGCAAAGAGTGATTAAGACATCCAACTGACTCATAATTACAGCTTGGTCTACTTTTACATTTGCTGCATTGTCTCTTAAACAAACTCCATTTTTTAAAGAAATTTTCCTCTTCTCTACTGTTGTTTAGATCTTGTTTAAAATGTTTTTCTAATTTGTCTTTCATCAAATTGAGAAGATGAGATGCATAATTTGACACAGTTCCAGTCTTTGGAAATAAAGTGAACCGTCATTCCCAGATAACCATGAAATCAAAACAGACTGAAACAATTCCAGTTTATGATTAAACCAAGGTTTCTTTGAGAGCAGCTTTTACTTTTTTATAAGTTGGATCCGGTTAACTTCTTTAGTATTTTTCTTAGCGATTTCTTAATTTAGAGCAACAAGTGAACGGTGTCTCAAAAATCCAGAATTATTGACGATAGTACACGATTAAAGGTCAAGATTTATCATTTCAAATATTGACTTGTAATTTTTTTTTTCTTTTTCAGAATTAGAGTCTTTTTTTGAAGAAGCCTGAACCCAGTTTGAGATTTTTGGGTTTAATGTAAACTCTTTGTTTTTTTGATCGTATATTAAAGTTTGGAACTGTCTTTTACTTGTTTGAATTTAATTAGGCTTCCTCATTGGTTTTTCATAAAATTTCTGGCGTAAGTTTGGTGCCAGGATGAAGATTCTCCAGGTGAGACGTTAGTCCATATAATCTTTGTTTTTTTGGGTTGTCTGATTTGCTTAAAAGCCATTCATGTATTGATTGCTTTTATTATGAAGTATTTCCACGCTATACTTGATTTTCCTTTTGAATTCATTTTGTTATACAAAATATACAATGTTTTTTTCTATGTTGCTAGTTTGATTCAAAACAAATGTTTAAAATATAATAGACAAGTAAATTTACTAAGATATGTAATGATTGTTGTACTAAAATTCCCTTTAGACAATCATTAACAATTTACTCTTTGGACAAGTATGAAAATTCCAATACTACGATTCCCATGGATAGGGCCACCCAGGGAGGGGATAGGAAACCACTGGGTACATTTTACCTTGGTACACAGACAAAAGGAGCTTATGCGAGTCTCAATAAAAGATTTTATTAAGAAATTTAAGAATCATAAAGAGAACTACTTTTTGCATAAATTTAAAACAGAACCTAAAAAGACTTTAATTACAAGTAAAATTTATCACAACAGATTTTAAATATTTACTATTTTAAATTTAACTAAAGATAGAAAAAAAAACCTTCATACTATCACAGAATGAAAAAAATAATTCAGGGTCCCAAGGCAGAAAAAAACCTGTAGAAAAGGTTGTAACAGAATACAAGAACAAACGTACACAGGGTTCGATAAAGTTAAAAAAAGGCATCTAATAAGTCTACGTCCGACGAAAAAGTCAAGGTATAGATTAACAGCTTTATATTTTATTCACAATCTTATATTCATAACTTTATTCAAAAACTGTAAAAACGTCTTTTTTAGACGGACC